GTGGTGGTGCACATCTGCACATGCCTTGGTGCACATAAAATTTATTCCACCCATGGATGAAAAAAATTACAGGAAACATTGGTCACCAATTTGACCTGGATTACTTGTCACCATCTAGCATGACAAAGAGCTAGGTGTATTTATGTTGTAAATTTAGGATGTGTGCCAGAATTACTATGTTACTCAATGAGTCATAGGATGAAACATTAAATCATTATTGTTGATTGAGGCCTAAGCAAGGCACCATTTCTTCCTCCAATACACTCCCACAAATAAATGCTTTTCTCACAGAGAACACCCCCTAAAGGTGTTTTAGCTATCTGGTGTGGTCATAATTAATGCAGCACTGGGGTAATTTTGCCTTTCTGTACTACAATATCTAGTTGATTTATATATAAACAGATTGATACAGATAAAACAGGTGCTTTAATTGACATACATAAATACAATGAAGCAGCTCCAAGACAGATTAATTGTTCCTTAAATAATCATTTCCTTAGATGATACATGATTTTCTATAAACTGGACAGTGACTTCCTTTTAATAAGAAAAAAAGACAAGGAATGGATAGATATGCAAGATTCATGTATCAGTCCTAGTAACTCCTCTCATATGGGAAACAACCAATTTGACTTAGGTTTGTGACCCAACCGCTGTTAATATGCATAATAGCCCTTACTCTTAGGATTCCCAGAACAATACTTTAGGTCTCAGGGACATTACATATCACTAAACTTGTTTCATAACACTTATACAAGTCCTAGTTTTCAGCGTTGTTTGTTGTTTTTAAATATATGTCCCCGAATGTTTTCCATCTCTCCTCTGGCTATATATGCACAATTTGACTCTTTAACTGGCTAATTAATCCAATGGGGGGGGGGGGGGGAGTTGTTCACGCCTTATATCATTTCTAGTCACTTCGCTGCCATCCATCACAGACTCAGTCGCAGCCTTCCTAAAATTACACGATGGGCAAGATCTACATTACTATATTCTTTTCTATTTTAAGATCCCTATACTCTTATTTTCCCGTTTGTAAGACTTTTCAAAGGGAGAGGGGAGGGGAAAACAGGAAAAGAACAAGCCGCAGTGGAAGCCATTAAAGAAAAAGAGGTTAAATACCCATTACACACGCAAGTTCCAAGCTGCAGAAGAATATGGAAACGTTTTACTGAATCTGCCTGGAGGTTAGACCATTTGCCCACAAGAAAGCAGTAAGATAGCAGGACATAGAATTATTAAGGCACATTGCTAGGTACTAATAAGAACGGTGATCTTTATGATGCATTTGTTTTGTTTCATATGACTAGACAATAGTTTCAGAATTTCAAGATGAACTATGACAATATCAAAGCCCTACTTGTGATGGAAAGAAAAATATACCATTCAGACACGGTATTTTACGTCGTCCTGCTCCTGTTTCAATTGATGGTGGCAGGTTTTAGAGATATATTACACGTGGCTGGTTTAATAATTCTAGTTTAACTTTACAGAATTAATAGATGACATACCTACTACTGACACATTATCTCTTTTCCACTGCTTGACATTACAGATAACTCTGTACTATAGACACTATGTGGTTCAATACCAGAGACAATATATACTCAACTGCAAACCAATCTACCCACATAGTACCACAGAATAATTATAATAAAGGCTGAAAGGCAAGTTTTATACATTGGACTAAAGCCAACTATTTTCTGTAGTAATTTAAAACTGTAGTTTAGGAAATAGCGCTGCAATAGTACTCACGGCCATCAGCTGTAGTCAAAAGTTAGTTACCTTAGTGCTTAGGGAGCAGTATTTGAAGCGAAAAGTATCCATCTTACGTGAAATAAAGAGCAGGATCGGGCCAAAATGAGAAGAACAGATGAAAATGCGAAACCTAAATTATGTCACTTGAAGCCCAGATTACAATAATATAGCTTCGTGTATTCCCCTTACTACTCAGAACTCTTCAATAAGCCCCAAACTGGGGTTTCCTACACATACTGGATGCATTAGAAAAGGTCCTGGGAAGATAGGGAAATCAGGTGGGTAAGCGATTGCAGTGCTCCATGCGGTGTCCGATGATTACTGTATATCGGCAGAGGGCGTTTTTATGTTTGTGTAGTATATTGTTTTATAAAATGTCTCTTTAGCATTGTTAGCAGTAATTCATTAAAAACAGCACGCTCCTTTCCACAAACATTTTAAAGGACCTAAAAGGCAGCAGGTGGGATGATGCTACTTTTTTTGCCTGGTCAATATAAAGATGGGGGGCGGGAGAAAGGGAGGCCTTCCGTGTCTCAGAGTAAACCATTTTCTCTTCTGGTATCTGAAAGAAGGATTATTCTTCTTAAGAGTCATTTACAAAAAATAGTGAGAGAATATAACATTTTGGGGTCGAATTCTGCAATGACTTAACCTACGTATAATTCAATTAAAGTTAACAGTCTTGAACTAGGAGTAAGTCAGCGCAGAATGTATTTACAAACTACTTAGTGAAACAAAGTAGTCTAAATAACATTGTATATTAATGACTGTTTTCAGAAAGCCTGTATTATTGAAAATATTTATTTCTAGAATTAACTTTGAAGGGAGTTAAAAAACACACTTCTGCCTAGAAAATTGTTACTCTTATAATTTATAACACTTAGGTTTATTATAACAGAATTTTAAAAACATGTGCTCTTTTTTCATCTTATTTGCTGTGCATGTGATAACAAGTAGACAATAGTTTCATTCTTTCCTGTGCTATTCACTGTGTATCTGCCCGTTCATCAGTTTCCCGTTGCTTGTATCAGTTTTTCAGAAAACAATAGAGAAAAGAAAAAAATTCAAAATAGGAAAATGTGGCAGTGAACTTTGCCACGAGACGGAGATGTCTAAGCAGTACTTCTGCTTTGTAACTTTCAGATGGGCATGTCCGTTTAAAAACAAATGATATGTCTAGCATTAGGCATCTTAAATCAGGCCCTGAATTTGCACACAAAACTTGCACTGTTGTCAATGGGAGTTTTGCCTAGTCTGGAGGGCAGGACCGGCTTCTTTGGATTATCTGGTGTTGTTTTTAAACAGATCCATTCAATGGCATCTCTCTGAGTTAGCCAGTCAATGTATGTACGTTTTCATGAAAACGAACATTTTGCTTGTGCATGGACAGTAGAGCGACACAGTATTTATCAAAGGAACATATCAGGTGTACTTTATGCTTAGTGGGAGTCCTGAAACTGCAGGATACTTTCGTGGAACTGAAGCTTTAAGGCTCATGGAAATGTAGAGCAATTCATGATTCAAAACCGTCTGCAATTCGACTGATTTACGCCACCTCCGGCACATAAAGTCCTCACGCCCTCTCATCGCAACTTCTTTCTGCTTTGATATACAAGAGGATCCCTCATTTCTTCCATTAGAGCCCTGGTACTTTTCACTTAACCTGGCACTTTTCAGGTGTTCCAGGATGCTAGAGACAAGCCAAGCCAAGGTTTCGGCCCTGGGTTATCGCACTTCACAGTTAGAATACCTTGGCATTGACCTTTTTAGCCATGACCTTGTCTTTAGGGAGCAAGCCCTAGTGAGGAGACCTGGAAAACGCCTCCTTGCGGGATGACAGTGGCCCTCGGCTGGCCCGACGCTGTTCGCGCTGACTTCAGTGGCGCGTCTTACGTTTGCTTCCCTGAGAAAAAGGATCGGGCTCCTGTTACCTTGCTATGGCCTGCGGAGGCAGGTGGCGGCTAAGGATGCCCACTAGCAGGCTGCTCATGGACACGCACCTCGGTCCTGAACTAGTGCCTACCAGCCCCGCTCGAGCGCGTTGCACGACTGTCGCCTGGTGATATTTCTGCGGCAGGCGGGCGGCACCAGCGCGCC